GTCTGGCCAGGGTCAACCTACGATGCGCTGCTATGCGTTGCCTTCGAATGCACGCGTGTGCCTCCTCATTGTCTCCCCATCCCCATCCCCTTCGAGACCCCAACCACATTGCCACCTCAGTTGGGGATGCGCCCTTCGAAACCCGAAGGGAGCGACCTATACCCCCATCTGGCGGGGGTGAATCGGCCAGTGGGGCCCAGGCAGCGCCGCTGGGGATGGGATCGGTTACACGATACTCACCTGCCTCGTTCCCGGGCCACCTCCTGTCGCGCTGAAAGTTCGCCGTGGCGCCTGCACGAGGAGGCTCAAGAGAAGGAGGACGGGGACGTGGAGGAGGAGGAGAAGGGAGGAGGAGGAGGAGGAGGAGGAGGAGGAGGAGGAGGAGGAGGAGGAGGAGGAGGAGGAGGAGGAGGAGGAGGAGGAGGAGGAGAGGAGGAGGAGGAGGAGGAGGAGGAGGAGGAGGAGGAGGAGGAGGGGGAGGGGGAGGGGGAGGGGGAGGGGGAGGGGGAGGGGGGGGAGGGGGAGGGGAGGGGGAGGGGAGGAGGAGGGGGAGGGGGAGGAGGAGGAGGAGGAGGAGCAGGGGGAGAAGGAAGAGGTTGAGGAGGAGGAGGAGGAGAGGAGGATGAGGAGGAGGGAGGACGAGGAGGAGGACGAGGAGGAGGAGGAGGAGGAGGAGGAGGAGGAGGCGGAGGAGGAGGCGGAGGAGGAGGATGGAGAGGGTGGAGGATGGAGAGGGTTGGGCTGGGGCGCGCGGGCTCCCCCGGCGGAGCACGCGCCGACGTCGGTGGAGCAGAGGCGGCAGGGCCGCGGAGGCCTCGCGGCCGCGCTGCCGCCGGGGCCACGGGAAGGAAAGCCTTCACGGCGGTCAACGGCACCGCAACGGGTACTTACCAACGGGTACTTTGAATTGTTGCCGAAAGTCGAAGACCGATTTCTGACCACATCCACCTCTGGATCCTCGATTCTATGATAGGCCCTCGGGGGTGGAAGTGGATAGTTTTTCCTTCCCCTGGGGCGGGGAAACTGTCCACCTCCCCCTCTGGAAACCGCTTTTCGCAAGGCACCTCGGGAAGTGGGTGTGGTCAGAAATCGGTCTCCTAGAAAGTTGCCACTTTAGGGCCTTTCTCTTGCATTGCAGCTTTGCCAACATCGGGAAGGGTTGGGTTCGCTGGGTCACTGGCCAAGGTACCCGTTCGTGGAGTCCCCGCTTGGGGGGCGCGGAGGCGGAGGCTGCAGCCGGAGGTGGTCGGGAAGCGTGGTAGGCTCTAGGCCTTCTAGATGGGGTCGGAGTAGATGGGGTCGAAGGAGCGCGCTGCATCGCCGATGCATCGCCGATGCGGCTCGACGTGGAGCCCGATTTTCTCCGCCCTGGCGTCGCCTATGCATCGCCGATGTCGCCGATGCATCGCCGATGCATCGGCGATGGATTGCCGATGCATCGCCGATGTACCGTCGATGCGGCGCGATCCTCCGACCCCATCTACTCCGACCCCATCTAGGAGGCCTCTATAGTCGGGAGCCTTGAGACGGGGGTCAATGCAAACGGGGGTCGGCCAGAGCGCCAGATCCTGCAGGATCCTGCGAAGACCCCTTCTGGCTGACCCGGGTCAGCGAGCCGCGCGTGGCCGCGAGGGGGCCGCGCCTTATTGGCTGACCTGGGTTTGCGAAGATCTGCGTTGCATTTTTGTTCCTGCATTGCAGTTTTTGGGTTCCTGCGGATCCGGGTCTGGATTGACCCGGGTCAGAAGATCCCCGAGGTAGCATCGGTCAATCAGTGGCGAAGCGTCTTGGCTCGCCAGTAGCCCTACCAACCAATGCTCTAAGAGCCTTTTCTAGTGTTTTCCACGAAATGTGCTTAGATCATCTCCGGCGGAGTCAGTCTTGTTTTATTACATCGCGATTATGTTCTAAGAATATGGTGTTTGTAATTAGATCGTTTTTGGGTTCTAAGAGCATTTCGTGGTAGGACTAGGAATGCCGGGACGGTCGGCCCCTGCTCAGAGCGGAGGTTGATAGGCCTCCTACCCTGACACGTCGATCAGTGAATTGGCCGTTTGCGGTTTTCGAGAGGGCGTCGCGGCCGTCGTTTTTGCCTGTCCAGGTCCGTCGGTTTCGGTCCCGGGCCGTTTTCACGTAGGGGAAGTTTGCTAAAGGGAGGTTTGTCCACCGCCGAGAGCAGATGTCCGAAGAGTTCCCTTGAAGTACACCTGAGGTTCCGCAAGAGGCGTGTGACGGAGAGTTACAGCTTGGCCAAGCAATCTGCCCATGTGCTCTCGCAAGCGCTGGGGGAGGAAGAGGGAGGGGATGAGGAGAGGGAAGAGGTAGAGGATGCGGAGGATGGGAGGGAGGAGGAGGAGGAGGAGAAGAAGGAGGAGGATATTGTTGTGGATATTGCTGATTCGTTTATAACGCTGTGCCTTCGCCGTGTAGGTTAAATATTACGTGGTTTTCTGTGAAGCGTGAGGCACCACGTTGACCAGCACGCTCCCGAACGAAGGCGTCTGAAGCTAGCTGCACCTGATTGCAGCGCACGGCACCTGTACGAGTCGGTCCCTGAGGTTCTGCTTGTTTTGATGAAAAGGCCCTTCGCCCTCTAATGTACTTTTTTGTCGGTTTCTGAGGTTCTTGGCTTCTGATGGCCTGCCCTTCGGCGCTTCGAAGGCCAGAGGTCACCAGGGCTCTGGCACGAAGTGGAGTGTCCCAATGCTCACAGCTGTGCTGCTGCAGCCAGGATTCTAGATTCTCCCGCACCTCTGGTTTCCCGGGCGCTCTGGGCGGGGCCAGGCGCTACTACACGTGGGCCTCTGGGACGGTGACCCCGTCGAACAGGGCTCAGAAACGGGCGAAAAGAGAGCTCCGAGAAGCTCCCAGCAGGGTCCACGAGGCCTCCGAGACGGCCCAAGAGCTTTTCAAGACGCCCAGGATGGCCGCACGACGGCCCAAGAAGCCTCAGGTGTTTCCAGGTTGTTTGTGTTTTCCACTTTTCTAGCTCCCGACGCTCCAAGACGTCCCACCGAGACCGCCCCAAGACGGCCACAGAGCCGAGATGTTTAAGCCAGGTAAGAAACTCTGAGAGCAGGCATCGTTTGGGGACTTACAAAAGCACCACCAAATACCACAGGGGCATTCTACCACGTCCAATCCGCGCAGGCAAGGTGGCGGCTTAGCAGGGACTAGCGGTAGAGTGGAGAGTACGGGGGGGAGGAGGAGGAGGAGGAAGAGGAGGAGGAGGAGGAGGACGAGGTGGAGGAGGAGGACGAGGAGGAGGAGGAGGAGGAGGAGGAGGAGATGAGGATGTCGAGGAGGACGTGGAGAACGAGGGAGGTGATGATGATGACGGTGCTGATGGTGATGATGGTTCTGATTCTGAGGATGGTGATGGTGATCACGGTGGTGGTGATGATTGTGATGATGATGCTGATGATGACGACGACGACGATCACGACCACGACGTCGACGACGGTGCTGATGATGATGATGGTGGCAATGATGATGGTGATGCTGTTTATGTTGGTGATGATGGTGAGGATGATGATGCTGATGCTGATGCTGCTGCTGCTGATGCTGTGGTGGATGACGACGACGATAACGACGACAACGATGATCACATTTATGATACTGATGCTGACGGTGGTGGTTGATGTTGATACTGAGGATGCTGATGATGGTGGTGTTAATGATGATGCTGATGATGCAGTGGCGGGTGACGAGTATGAGAACGCGGGTGACGATGATGGGTATGACAATGCTGCTGCTGTGGATGCTGCTGCTGATGATGATGATGATGATGATGCTGACATTGCCGATGATGCTGATGATGATGGTGATGATGGTGATGCTGGTGATGAAGATGCTGATGATGCTGATGCTGATGCTGATGATGCTGATGATGCTGATGATGCTGATGATGCTGATGCCGACGATGCTGACTCTGATGGTGATTATGACGATGAGGCCGATGATGATGCTGATGGTGATGATGCTGATGATGATGCTGATGATGGTGCTGCTGTCGCTGTTACTGTTTTTGCTGTTGGTGATGATGCTGTTGCTGGTGGTGGTGGTTGTGCTGATGGTGGTGATAATGATGTTGATGGTGATTATGCTGTTGATGCTGCTGCTGATGCTGTCGCTGCTGGTGATGACGATGCTGATGATGACGATGTTGTTGATGATTAGGCTGATGATGATGGTGACTATGATGATGCTGATGATGCTGATGATGGTGCTGCTGTCGCTGTTGCTGTTTTTGCTGTTGGCGATGATGCTGTTGCTGGTGGTGGTGGTTGTGCTGATGGTGGTGATAATGATGTTGATGGTGATTATGCTGTTGATGCTGCTGCTGATGCTGTCGCTGCTGGTGATGACGATGCTGATGATGACGATGTTGTTGATGATTAGGCTGATGATGATGGTGACTATGATGATGCTGATGATGCTGATGATGGTGCTGCTGTCGCTGTTGCTGTTTTTGCTGTTGGCGATGATGCTGTTGCTGGTGGTGGTGGTTGTGCTGATGGTGGTGATAATGATGTTGATGGTGATTGTGCTGTTGATGCTGCTGCTGATGCTGTCGCTGCTGGTGATGATGCTGATGATGACGATGTTGATGATTATAATGATGCTGATGCTGTTGATGCTGATGCGGATGGTGATAGTAGTGATAATTATGATGCTGATGATGCTGCTGATGATGATGATGAAGATGCCGCAGATTATGATGTTGATGATTAGGCTGATGATGGTGGTGACAATGATTTCGATGATGCTGATGATGATGATGCTGATGATGATGCTGATGATGATGATGATGATGATGATGATGATGATGATGATGATGATGGAGACTCGGATGTGGATACTGCTGCTGCTGATCATGATGATGACGATGATGATGGTGGTGGTGGCGACGACGATGATGATGAGGAGGAGGAGATGCGAGGAGGAGAAGGGAGGCTGAGGAGGACAGCGACGATGGCTTCACGCGCCCACCCTTGCAG